CGACCAGAGGCTGTCCACGCGCACCTTTTACGCCCTCATCGCCGAGCTGTCCGGCCAGCCAGCGCCCGCCTTTGAGATCCCGGCGTGGGTGGCGCGGCTGAGCGCCCGCACGATGACCGCGTGGGCCAACCTCGTCTCTGGCCGGCCGCCCACGGCGCCGACGGACCTGGTCCGCACTGCCGTGAGCGGGACGCTGTGCTTCGACGCGGGAAAGTCGAAGCGCGAGCTCGGCATGGAGTACACGCCGATCCGCGTCGCCTTTGCTGAAGCCATCGATCTGATCACGGACACGACGACGCGGACCGGGGAAGACGAGCGCGACGGTGCGATGATCGCAGCCGAGCAGCGCGGCCGGCTCGTGGAGGAGGGCGAGCGGGGGGGGGATGGTGGGTGAGAGGGAGGGAGTTTTACCGCCGTCGCGATTTGTTTGTTAGATGGTGTTACTGGATCCTAAAATTCTTTCGTCGCCCGCGGCCGCGCCTTGCCCCTGTCGCGTGAAAAATAAAAAAATGGAGCACCCAAGGGAGGGATGGGAGGACGGCACGCCGCCTGGATTTTACCTTGAATTTTTTTGGTGAATTCTTTTCTCTTCAGTGTCGCTGGCCGCGCGGTCAACCACAAGTGAGTTTTGAGAGGAGACTAGCAGGTTGGCTCGCTAGTCGCTCGCCGGCCCGCGCAGCACGCGCGGGCCTTTTTGTGGTCGGATGTTGGTCGTCTCGAATTTGATCGTGGGCAGGGCGTGAGAAAGCTGGACGGCTCGGTCGATGCGAGCCACCAGCTCGTGAGCGACGGGCGCGACGGGTTCCTCGGCGTAGGCTTTGGCGTGGTGAGCAGCGCCGGCGAGAGAGGGACGGCATGCGGCTCCCAAACGAGCCGCACGGGCTTCATCTGGGCCGCCGAGGCCACCTCCTTGGTCGCGGTGGCGGGCGTGAAGGCGAGGTGGGCCGAGGCAAGCGCTGAACGTGCCGTGCCGCCTTGCGCCCCTGAGGAGGGACGAGTGTGTGGGGTGCCACGGGCGGGGGGGAGCGGTGAGAGGAGAGCGGTGGGCACCCCCACGAGGGGCTGCGCTGACGCCGCCTGCCACCCCACGCACGCCACTGACGCTGTGGGGGCGGCACGATCGAACGCGCTGGTCGGGCGGGCCGTCTGAGTCGCCCAAGCGGTGCTCTGCCGGCCGGTGGACGCGAGGGTGGCCCAAGAGGGCTCAAAGTACGGAGCCGATACCCGGCCGTCCCGGACGCCTGGCACGCG